CCCAACACTGGGCCTTATGTTTCGCTGAAAATCGGTTTGTAGCCTCGTCCCTAGACAGTGCACTGAATGAAACAGGGCTTGTGAGTTCTGCACAAGCCCAGCAGCCCGGGGGTGATTGATCTTCAATGAGGAAGGAATCCGAAGGATTGATCCCTACACTTAGAAAAATCGCTAATGTCTGAATTCTGAAATCCGGGCCGTCTTTGGACCTACCGGCCCGACGGCCCGGATTGGGCCCCGATCTTAGATCTTTAAGATTGCGCGGCGATCCAGGCCGTTCGTGGTTGCACCTGTCCGACGGCCCAGATCGCCCCCCGATCTTAGAGTTTTAAAATCACGAGCGAATCCGGGCCGTCGGGCCGTAAACGGCCCGGATCGCCGCGGTGCCTTGGGGAAATCGGTCCGAAAGGACCGTTGGCGGGCGGGCGGGAAAAGTACAGCCCTACGCGACGCGACCTACCTACGCAACCTACGCTACACGACGCGACCTACCTACGTGACGCGACGCGACCTACCTACGCAACCTACGCTACACTACGCGACCTACCTACGCAACCTACGCTACGCTATGCGACCTACGTACACGACGCGACCTACCTACGCAACCTCCCTCTCCCTCTCTCTCTCTCATTGCTTGGTACGCCCACCTAGGCGACCTACCTACAGCCTGCGCGATCCATGCAACCTGCCTACGGCCTGCCTACCGTAACTCTCTCTCTCTCTCTCTCTCTCTCTCTCTCTCTCTCTCTCTCTCTCTCTCTCTCTCTCTTTCTCTCTCTCTCTCTGTGGATCTCCCTCTCCCTCTCTCTCTCTCCCTCTCTCTTTCGTTCTCTCAGTGCTTGGTACTTCGTGCTTGGTCGTGTTTGGCCGTGCATCAGTGCCACTTTCGTGCTACTTGGTGCTACTGGGTGCATTTGTGCTACTTCGTGCTGCTCCGTGCTTGGTTTGCTTTCGGTGCTACGTGCATTGGCGGTTGGTTTGTGGGATCCGTGCTTCGTGCTAAGTGTAACGGTGTTACATGCATCGTGGAATGGGTGCTTGGTTCAGTCTGGCATAGTCGAACCTTCCGATGAAACAGTCTGGACAGTCGT